AATGGTACGTGGCAATGTTGAACGAAAAGACTTTTTGTTCAACATTAGCATGATCCTATTCCAGAAGTCGCTCGCATCTGAATAAAAACATAGATTGTAAATTGACACAAGGTGTGCTGTGACCGGCAATCTTTCCTGGCGAGAGTTATATCTAATGTATGGTCCCTATGTCTAAGGTCCAGTCTCATAATCACGCAAAAGTCTCCTTTACCTAAAGTCCACTTTCAAGATCAAGATCAAGGTAGGACTATTGATTTTCAGGAAGCGGGTCCAATAGGAACCAAAGTTATAGAAGGAGTGATTCAGGAACGGGAAAAACGGTCGAGTCACCTTTGGAATTTTTGTTTACATGGGAAATCATATTTAACTTGTACTTCCAAAGGCGACTCGACGTCACCCTTTTTGATCGCCCGTTACACGGTAAACTTCTAGATAACAATGGTAAGACTGGTTTTATAATTTTTTTTTCTATCGGGATTCGGGTGACGTAAAAGTTCAATATGGGATTCATAAGAAATAAGAAAGTTGATCTTATTCACTCCAAACCCACAAGTCATTTTATGACTTTATTTTAGCACCATCAGAAAGCTGAGAAAAAATTACTAAGCATTTGATGTTAAAGTTTTTTTTTGATATTTTGAAAATAAACCAACTCCCATGCATTTTCCAATATGAAATTTTTCGTTTTTTTTTACATAACTTCGCTATTTGAAAAATTGATTTGCAGTTTTAATTCCACCATCAGTAAGATCTGGTCGGGGGCTACCACTTTCTTTTTGTGGGTACCCATTTCCGACGTACCGTTCACTCGCAATTCACCTTTGAAGTTTTGCCTCCACCATCAGTCATATCCTGTCGGGGGCTACCAGATTTCCTTTTTCGGTAGCCACTTCCGACGACCCGTTCACTCGCAATTCGCGTTAGAAGTTATGACTTCACCACCGCTAAAGACTCTCCACATATAGTACTCCATTTTTTGGGGCACTTCTCATAGCTCGAGCTGCTATCGGCGACACGAGAAAGAGAGACCGCGATTCGAGTTTTAAGCAACTTATTAAAACCGCGTGATATATAATTTCCAGCAGAAGATGCCTTTTGGGCGCCCGAAGTCGCCTACGCTTCGAAGATGCGCGCCTTGCAAAAGGTGGTTAATTTCGCCCATAAAAAACAATCGGACCAAAACTTTAGAAGTAGGTAGGAAAAAACTGAAAAATGTCCAGGTTAGAATAACATAACCGTTGAGTTCACTCAAGGGATGGCCAGCAGGCCAAAGTGAGCCAAAGTAGATTAAAAGCTACTTTTTCTGCAAAAATGGGCTAAAAACTCGCCGTGTATGTTATTTGTTTAAAAGTTCCCAAAGGTATATTCCACAGGCCTCTGCCGCCTATGAACTATGAGTATGTATTGACATTTGTGCGAGAATTATAGTTGAAAACGCACGAATATTGTCCCATATATAGTCATCCCCAGTTGTAGAGAGAGGAGAAGTTAACAATCATAAAATTTGAATTTTGATTTGCTTCAAAAATAGCGAAGGAAAATTATGAAATTCGACTAAATTAGTAGGTAGCTTTAATATAATAATAGCTTACATTTGTTAGTCTTTATCTTCGTTGGTCAAACTCAAACTACTCCTTCAATTTTGCAGATATCTAAATGCGATTTTTGAAACTATCAGAGATTTACGGTTCGGGGTGGGGGTTTTGGGAAATTCCCGGGAGGCGAATTTATACAACGGGCAAAATAAATTTCAAAGAAATTAGCACTAGATTTTCTACGCTCTAATCTAGATTCTTGTTTAAATTCCCGCTCCCCGCCTTCTTGTTTATTATCTAAATAGCCTCTCATAAAAATGGAATGCAATGCGAAATTGGTATAAAAAGTTTTGCATCGGCCGGGAATCGAACCCGGGCCGCCCGCGTGGCAGGCGAGCATTCTACCACTGAACCACCGATGCTTACAAATCCATAGTTGTTACCTATTGCTCCAGAGGGTCATCGATAAAATACCCTTTTTAGCTGTGTTCCTACCTAAATATGATATAAATACGGAAGGAGCTAATTCTTTGACTTATTCTATGACTAAAAGTCGCTTCGTTACTGATTTAAATAGTAAGTAAATTAAATAGGTATACTTTGTTTCACTGGTGCTGAACCTGACGTCATAAATGCGATTCTCTCTTCATTACATTTAAATCGATTGAGACAAAAAAATTACGTCATTAACGTAAGTCGTGACAAATAAACCAATTATTGATCTGTCAATAATATCAATCCGTCAAACGATTTTCGTTAGATTTCCAGTGTTTTGAGACTTCCTCCATATCACTGCGAGTATAATCCAATCGAAATGGTATGGTCAGAATGCAAACGGCATTACGATGCAAGGATCGGTTCAATTCAGCCTGTCACACACAGAGTCGTTTTGTCTTTATGGAATGAGGCACTGCACAAAGTAACCTCTTTATATGCTGTTTTGTGAAACAGTACTTAATAACTTTAATGTTTAGGTTACACCGGAAAAATGGAAAAGATATTTTGATCATACAAGAGGCATTATAAACCAGGCCTGGGAACGGGAACAACATATTGATACATCAGATATCTTACCTGTGATTGTCAACTTGGACGAATCTGATAGTGACGAAGATTATTATGGTGATTATATTCATGAGACAGAAGAGAATGAGCGTGTTTAAGAATATTATTTTGGGCCGTTTATACATATATACTTGTGGTGTAGTGTCGTTTTTTCTTTTGTACATACGATTTGAATATGAACATTTGAGTTTTTTCAGGAATAAATATCTTCACTACCTGTTTTCTCTCACAATTGCGTTTTTTTTAAATAAATCGGATCAGAAGATATTCAAGATCCTTATGCGAATATCTCGAGTGTGTGGCAAAAGAACAGAAACTGTATGTATGCTTGTTATTTCAATGAGCCTGTGGTACGAGTATAATGCCTACGCTTTATCTCAAATTTGTAAGATATATAAATGCGAAAGGCCTACCGACAAACCATGGCCTATACGACTTCTGCAAATGGCTAGTTAAGGATCATTAAAATTCGCGCAACTTAACCTGTTCTGTCCGTTAGCCACCCTGAGAGACCCCTTGGTGTGAAGAGTACATCCTATTCCACTCCTTTCCGGTTCCTCAAATCATTTCTCAATAAGTGTACAGGTTTAGACTAGGTCCAAATAAACACATGAGCTGCTGGCTAATGAACTTTTGTTTAAGGGCGATAAAAAAAAACGCGTATTCTTCACATTGGTAGCATACTTAATTTCACATCAACATTATGTAAACAAAATATTAATTTACGAACTGCCTAAAGACAAACTTTAAGTTACAAATGTTCCTATGCGTTTTCTGTAACCATCATACACTTCATCTCAAAGAGTTTCTGATGCTCTGGCAGTATCCATTTCGACTGTAGGTGCAAAGAATCGGTTACATGAGGTGATTACAAACGGTGGAAAAAGTTTCATCTCGAGTTTAATTCATACCAACGGAGTTCCTCTACATAAAATACATGACCATATAGCCATTATAAAACTTGGGGACAGGAAAAAACCTATCAGGACCAGATGCCTTACAAGTGATTGTCAACTTGGACGGTCTGATAATAATGAACGATAGTGACACCTTAATAAATAAGTTAAAACGTCAATGTGACAATATGTAAACCAACTACTAATTTACGACCTGCCTTAATTTTGCTATGACGTCAGATAGTGTGACGAAAGGTTCAGCACCCTTGAAACAAAGTATACCGTACTATCTTGTTATCCGCGGGCGAGATCAAAATCACGAGTGTGTGTAGCAAATAGCAATAAGTTGTAAAGAAGCCTGGACTGGAGTAGTATTTTTCTAAATATTCACAAAAACGAACAAAACCCTATTACCCTAAATGGCCTATTGAGTAACTTATTTTTTTTTAAGTCTCTTCATTTCGCAAATACGCATTCGAACTCATAGATTATGATTCTCATAAGAAAAGGGGTTGTGAAGCTCGGCTCCTCGGGTTCAGAATTTATCTATACGTCAGCCACGGACAAAAGTAATGTTATTCGTATTCCTATACGATATAGGTACGTTTGCAGTTTATGACCCAGTTCACAACTTCACAATTTTATGGATGTACCTATTATTAACGAATCTGAACTGAAGTAGAACGAAGGGTTGGGGAAACTGATGGTAGGTAGGTTGGTTACTCGTTGAGCTATGCAAGGGTACGTAGGTAATTATTTTTGTCTGTGACCGTAATTAATTCAGAAATGATATCCTAAGACGTGGATTAAATTAATTAAATGAATGTTAAATTGAACATTATAATATAATAATGCAGCAATTTATTGTCATGCAATGCATTGTCAGTTCGGAAAGTCTTCTAGTAGCGATTAACGCATCTGGAGTAATAATCGATGAACACAAAGCAATGAATTTTAATCTAATCTGTGTTTATACTGTATGAAAATATTTCCTGATGCAATAGGGGAAATATGTGGTAATCGCCACCTGCTGCAGTCCCAAAATTGAATGGGAACGTACGCGTCAAAAACCGCTGAGGTCCACCGATGCGTGTAAGCTATTAAATAACGTAATTGCGATTGGAATAAAACAAAAAATAGAGGCGACCCTGCAACCCCTTCGGTCAGGAGGATTGCAGAGTTCCAAATTGTGCGATGGAGACCGCGACTTATTCGTACCTGGTACTGAATATCGATAATCTCTGGGGAACGATTCACGACGTGGTTTAACCCCCTGCCATCTCTTCAAATATATTTTAATGCAGTGATTTACCACATGCAAATTCATCGACTATTATTGGGGGAAAAAGAAATGATGTTGTGTTTATATATTGAGCACGTGATAGTTTCCGTTTTTTACTTGAGTGGTAATTTTCGGAAAACTATATCTTTATGCGCAAATTGCAAATCGGCAAAATATACCCATTTGCAAGTACTACAATAAGAATTAATATTGGGGACTTACGAAATCCACTGATAAATTCCAGATACAGTAAGCTCTCCTTTTTCATTTAACGCGTGTTCTATTAATTCTGTGTAGGTGAAGGGAGGTTTTTTCGGTCCTGTATGGCTGTCGCAGTTCCCGTGAACCTTATTCGTAGTTTCTTCTTTGGATAATTTTTCTGATATGATCCTAGATAACTGAATCTGAAAAAACAGAGTGTTTATTATAAAACTTTTTTTATTATACCTGAATCACACTCTCCGTTTTAAACACTCAAATGCGTGCGAAAAAAGGCCTTTAAAACACACGTGCTTTAAAGTTGCTAAGTAACGATACTTCAAGTATGACTTTTGAAACTGTCATTTGGGTGAAATAAAAAATCTTCCTAAGTCGCTTTCTGTAAATGCAGAACATTTCTTTGGCCTACCTATCCTTTGGTTGAAGCTTTTACAAACGCGCGTAATTTAGGGTATGCTGCCAAATCTGTTCCACTTTTTAGTCCCAGCAATAAGAAAAGTTTTGAATGAATGCACCAAAAGATAGAAGATTTAAATACCTTTGACATTTCCTTCATATATGCCAGCATTATCGATGCATTTAAGACTTTATTCGTAAGTATAACTTCCTATTCATCCATGGAAACAACTTTTCATATTCTTTATAATAGACTTAACTGGATTTGGATTTTATACCTACCAGCGTTTGTTTATATTTTACAACAGGCTATTTAATGGACGGTGTATTCCTTTTCAACGGAAATCGTTTTATTCACAAAGACGACGATTTTTATAAGCAAACGTCAAGTGACATTTCCATGGCAATCGTGAAATTACGAACACCCAGCCCACTTAATTAGACATGTATTCGAGTATAACGTCAATATGACTTCATTGTATTTCCTATTTTTAAATTATACTGCAGGTATAATAAAAAATACTATAAGATACACGTGTATAATTGGTCTTTAAAGCACTTGCAACGTTAAAGGCACTCCGCTTTGCGTCGTGCCCTTAAACTCGTTGCGCGTGCTTTAAAGACTTGATTATACACTTGTATCTTAATATACTATTTAATGAAGTAGGTATATCCAAATGAGAAAGTCAGTTATACGGGTTATAATTATAAGTATGTCAAAGAATTGGTATATAACTTTCAGACATCGAGATCAACGTGGGGTGAAACATTTAATAAATCAAGAACTTTGGATGAGCGTGTGAATTAAAAGTGTTCAGTACATTTGTTACAAGTCTTACGTTATCCATTCCAACAGTTTCTAAACTGACAAATGTCTCTAGTGAATATCAGTTCACATAAGTTTAAAAGATTAAGTTTTTCCTATATAAGAGATGCCAGTTTTACAAGACTTGATGATGATGACTATCAATAAAATCAAAGGACTGAACTCTGGAATAAAAAAAGATCCTTTTTACCAAAAATATCTGCTTTAGTGAGAAATGCTCTCTTTCTGAATGGGTTTGTTAAGAAATACATCTGCAGTTACTGGCATTGAATAAGTAAATTACTTATTAATGTGAATGTAGACTGTATTATTGCCTAGGCACTGATGGTTGAACTCATTTTAAGCAATTAATAAAATAAATTAGTACCTAACCATTCAGTTACCGGGGAGGACTTTTTTAAACTGTCGTTTTTCTTTAGAAAACTGGGTAGTATAGTAGGTACCACATGATGCCTCATTAATTGTTGCCGATTTTGCGATTTCGTTTTGTGAAGCTAATGCTGGATGTTAGCGGGAGTTCCAGACGTCTGGAAATTATCCTTAACCCTAGTTTACTGGCCACTAAAACTTTCAAGTTTACGGGCGTGGGGTGGAACGAACCCCAGATAGAAAAGACTAAACTTGAAAGGTACTCGAGCTCCCAGGCCAAAATATTGAAAGAAAAAAAACTTATGGACATTGAAAGTGGCTGTAGGGTGCGATCCACCCCAGACCTGAAAATTAGGGTTAATATAGATAATAGAAGAACAAGTACTAAGTACTAGAGAATGCGCGTGCGCTATCAGGTCTACCTTCATGTTTGATTACCGCCTTCGTAAATCGAGTTGATTAGGTAGGTACTCGTCAGTTCGTCCATCGAAAAAACCGCATGGATGCCATGAAAAGCAACCGTCGCGTCGCCGCGAACGCTGCTTGTGCCTCAACAATATGTTCCGAAAGCAAAGCAGCCACCAAGATTACCGGAACTACAACCGTCGTATGTACAATCTGATACCAAAAATATGCCGTTGCATTTATCAAAATTAGTGTATGGGCCAACTGGCTAAATTTAAAGAAATGGTATAATTTGGGGGTACCAATTTTCCTTTTTACCACGGTTAAACCCGTATCTTAGGACGAGTCTTAAGATGTAAAAAAACCATGATTTCCATCTCAAAGATGGTAGCTAATAGAAATGGCGGCCAATCCAAGATGGCGGATGTTGAGTTTTATAAAATCATCTATAAGTATTTCTAGAACTACTGGTCCGACATCATCATTTTCTTAAATGAAAGCTTTTGTGTGTGCTACAATATTGTCATAACTACTTTTTCGTTAAAGTAACTAATGCATGAAGTAAACTAACGAAAATTTAATTTAATGAAAACTAAAACAACCCCTTCGTCACTTTCAAAAGTTTCATATACACTAAAATCTGCTACTTCTTCCTCGTCTTCAGTGACGTTTTACACTTTAAGTTATTAGCATTACACAATGGTAGTTGTTTTGAACAAGAGCAGCTTGGTAATTCTACGTGAGATGATATGGAAGTCAAACTTAGGGTTATCTTTCATCTTCTTTCCTGCTTCCGGAATAGCATCTTTTTGATTTTGACGTACAATTTTCCAATGTATTTTTTGTTTTCACATAATCTATGACAAATTATCTGGCACAATATACACCTTTCCATCAATATTAACAAACTCTTTGCTTCCGTTATAGCTAAAAGCCGTATTTGATCGTATTTATTGCAAAACAGTCAATCTTGTCAGTTGTAAAGTTCTTGTTTAAGCGGAAGCGTGTTTCACGTTTTGCAAAGAAGTTAGTCGAAGTGCTGTGTTTATCGAGCAGGCGTCGCTTATGTGAAGCCTTTTTTCCCCAGTACTCGTTAAAGAGAGTTTTTCCACCATTAAAGAGCCAATTTTACATCTGTAATTACAACGAACCCAGTGTCGTTTATTTTTGGTTGTACTCGTATGAGATGTTGTTTATTTTCGATTTGCAACATTTGCGATTAAACCAAATTTATTTTTGCATATATATTTTGATATTCTTTGCATTTACATGATAGACTTGCATACTTTGCATATTTTAAGATGTTGTTAGATTTAATCGATTTTAATTGTATTTTTAATACATTTTTGCGGATGTTTATAACGGATGCGATCATGAAGCATACTACAATAGCTGGAAGGAAGATTTATTGATTTAATTCATGTTTAATTTCATCATTTCCAAACTATTTTATTTTTCCCTTTCTCTACGATGTTGATGGGTGATATTGTGGAAGATTTGGAAATTGCTCCAAATAGTTTGTAGTTTTCTAACGCGCCTATTACTTTTGTTGATGTAGAGAGACGTTTCTCTGCTTAGTGCTTATAAACTAATTCTTAGCGACAGGAGGCAATCATTTCGTGCAGAAAACTTAGAGAAACATCTTACTGCTAGTGTTTATCGTAATTCCATTTTTACTAAAAATTATGCAACATATATAATTTTGCATATGTGTGCATATGCATCAAAACTGTTTTATCAAAACTGGCATATTTTTCACTAATATTCTGCATATTTTACCATTTATTGTGTATTAATACAGGTGGTAAAGAAAATTTGGAAAACAATTTTAAAAAACAGTTTTTTTAAATTACTTATTAACACTTGCTTTTATCGAAAAAGTACTTATAACAATAATTATAGCACATATAAAGAGCATGGAGCAATACAACGCGCAAGAACTTGCAGAAAGAAATTGCAAGGTCAAATTCTTGCATGCAATAAGCATTGCATGGTATTTGACATGGTGCAATTCTATTTCAATTGCCACATGTCTGCCAACAGAAGAAACATATGGATTTGTCAACAAAGTAGTTAACCTCAAATGAAAATTAAATTTTGATTGCTTGAAGAAACATGAAAATTACAAGAATAAATAAGATTAATAAAAACAAGTAATGAGTGCGTCTCTCAGCATCATAGTTGCCGCCGCTGTATTTTACTAGGTTGGTGACACAAAAACAACTAGATTTATCCCTAGAATTGCACGATTCATGCAAGAAAAATAGCACCGGTCCTATAAAAATTGCATGCAAGTCTCTTGCAGCAATTGATCAGCTGGCTTTGAACTGCGATGCCTTTCGCAATTTTTCTTGCAACTTGCATGCAATTGCAATTTTTATTGCTCCATGTCAAGCGGGCTTTACAAAAAAAGAATAATCAAATTGGATGAATAATTCCAGTTAGTTAATTTTATAAAACTCAACATCCGCCATCTTTGATTGACCGCCATTTCTATTAGCTACCGCTTTGAGATGGCAATCATGGTTTTTTGGTATCCTAATAAACCTGTATAACCACTGTAAAAAGGAAAATTGGTACCCCCAAATTATACCGTCATGTTGACTGGCCCATGGACTAAATTGCCAGATCAGCCGAAACACTCGATTTCACTTGCTACAGCCCCGGAATCATCAAATAATGTTTCATCGGATTCAGCTTTGCCTGACTTTTCTGAAAATGTAGAATAATGACCTACTTTCTTCAGTCACTTTGGCGGGTCTACAAAATCTATCGGTTTCACAGACTCTGGAAACATTCAACGGTTGCAGAAATCTTTCCGAGGGGAAACAATCAGATATTGCCTAGCTTTGTAGTCCGAAGAATGTTAAACGAATCATTGAAAATGTAAGTCGAACTTGATTATTGAAACCACGGTAGACAAGACACGAAGTTTGAAACCTGCCAAAGAAGATGATGCCGGGCGCTCGGCCTGAAGATGACCAATGGTGGAAAGTGATAGCCGCACCAGAAACTAAATAAACGTGTTTACAAAAATTTCTCTTTACTCCTTCCTAATTATTTATATTCGAGCATTATCGTGTGGGGGAGTATAAACGGGGTATTTTATCAAGCGGGGTTTGTAAACTGGTACTGTTTATACTTGAGAATATTTCGTATTTACGGGAAGGGTGAAGAACGTTCACTAATTTTTGTGTGATTTTATCTGATACTAATTATAATAAACCAATACTTCTTTCGTCATTTTGGATGATTACTTTCCCTTGTAGCTTCTCACATTCATACAGCGAGAGTCGATAATACAGACTGGGTGGCGCTCAACTTTGGGTAAGTTTTCAAAAACGCCTCTGGTACCGCTATTAGCCTGGACTGCGTACAACCAATGATCATCATCGGAGCGAACAATGCCCACTTGATCGTGACACGAGATGTTATTGAAGCTGGTTCAAATACCTCTGTACTCTCTCGTATGTTGGTTGGGATATTCATGAAATTCCGGCCTAGAACGTGACCGCGTCGGCGTCGACCCAATTTTTCTATACCACACTTACGATTGTGACGCAGAGTTTCATCGCATGGCCAAAGAATATTTTTCCGTCGAGTCTCTTGGTCTCAAGCTCTTGTCAAAATTATGTTCAAACGAACTAATGAAACAAATTACTAAAAAGAAGGCTAATCGTTGAGATACTTGTCTGTCGCCAAAGAACAAAGCACTTCCCTTGCGACGATTACGTCACTTGGAGCAACAGATGGACAAAGATCACACCTTTGCAGCAGGATCTTTTCCGCAAAGGGTATGCCGTTACCAGTAATTGTCATGCACAAGAAGGCAAAATCTGGTATCTACTGCATTTTCCGGTTGTCAACCCTATGAACCCAGGCAAAATACGACCTGTCTTCGGTGCTGCATCACGTTACGAGGGAATAAGCTTAAATGATTGTATGTTGAGAGGCGGAGACTTACCTACTGTGCAATATTGGCCCATATGAATAAAAGGGGGCATATGCTTATACTTCCAAAATTTAAAGTAAATACTCGTAAGTGCCCCTTCACACTGATGGGCGACTTAGCAGCACTGCTGAGCAGTGCAGCGCTTACGAGTATTTACTTTGAATTTTGTAAGTATAAGCATATATTCCCTTTTATTCATATGGGCCATTGTCTTAGTATTGTTCAAGTTTCGTCAATTTGCAATTGATTTGAGCGGAGATATTCGAGAGATGCGTTTACAAGTAGTAAGCTTGTCACACCTTTGGGTAAATTTTTGAAGAGAATGGAAGTGATTTAACATCTCTCCTTTGGGACTCGAACAACCTGCTGTTATATTGTTATAAAACACCTCGTACGCTTTATCGCGAAAAAAGATTTATTGTTTAAGGTTTTGCTTTTATCGAAAAATTAATGTGCAATGTTTACATGAAAGTCACATATCAAACTTTTACTTACATTTTGTTGGTCGAAGTACTGCTTGGACATTGTTTCAGAAATGTACACTTGGCCATCTTTGCCATTTTCCAATCCACTTGACAAAGTATACTGTTCCGTTGTTGTACAATCTGGTGGAAAAGAAGAATCTCAGCGTACAAAAAATCAAGCAACATTTAATTTGCAACCGTTATGTACTAAAATGATTACTAGGTGATTGTAGGTAGTTAAAACAGGTGAAGATGTAAATAAGTGTCTAAACAAACGAACTTGTTTCTAAATAAACGTGCGGTAGAGGGTGGTTGTTCGCAGTGACTTGTGACCAAATTTTGCATAAATTGAAAGTAAAATACCTGGTACCGGTGGTAATTCGTGAATTCTGTAGTTCAAGAGCCAAGATAAATTCCCATCGGAACAGTCTCCTTCGATGCCGCTATCCGACCCTCTGGGACTGGCCGCTATGCACGACGTCATATCAATATTTTCAGGTGATTTCGCAAACTTTTTAGCCCAAGTGTTTTGAATCACCTCTAACTCTTCCATATTTACATTATGCATTTCAGCGACAATGTGCGGAATTTCATTCGAGGTATCCCAACGGCCGTTTAAAAGGACTACCTAAAATTATAACGTGGTATTCACCCTTCACCGCAATGTCAAAACTTGAAGAAATAATAGCACTAGGTACCTCTTTGTTAAACTGATCCACATTTTTTCTTTTAATAGCACTAGTACGAGGTGAAGGATGGTTCCTTTGGGTAATGGCTGTCTTTTGAATACGCGACGGAAGCGTCGAACGCGTAAATGTGGAATTTTCACCATTTGCGTTAAATTCCTTCCATTTTATAGTAACGCCGTTTCGTTTATTGTAAAACTGCGCCGGTTGAAAGTTTCGGTCTCTAACAATTAAATGACTCATGAAGATGTTTAATTTAAGAAGAACGGCTGCCGCGAATTAATTTTTGTATTCAAATGACAGCTTTCTGAACAAAAGACGTACGAAATCAGAAGTTGTCAGCGCGTTTCCCGCAAAAATTTAATTTATAGAAGCACTTACCAATGACGCATTGCTTTGATAATAATGTGCGCATCACCAACTTTATTGACACACTTCTGAAATTATTAAAAGGAATGCATAGTTTAAACTGGCGCATTTTGGTCATGGGGAAACTTCTTATTGAAGTTAAACTTTCAACGACGCAAGCGCATCTACCCCTAAATTTAAGTTTTGCACCCCCTTTTCTTAGTTAGATATAAATGCAAACTGATATTGTTGTTAAATATTGATTTGGATTTCTGTATTGCTATAAAAGTTCGTTGAGCAAATGAAATATTTTAAGTGGCATTGTAACTGTAGCCCCAGTAAGGGGGCATAGATTTTTTCCATTTTGTATTCATCACATGTGGGCTGATTAAGATAATTTGTCCAGTTTCAATTTCAACGAATTTAAAGGAAGGCTATGTCTTTTTTATACCTTCTGATAGTTTTGTCCACTGGTATCTATTAATATACAATTAAAGTACCTAGCGTAATTTCTCGTAATCCTTTAGAAACGTTTATTTTTCAACCGATCTAAAGGCACATCGACTTTTGATTAATTTCAGAGACAAGGCAGGTTTTGCTAAATTTTCTTAGTTTGTTTACTGTATGTCTACCTATCTAATTAACGCAAAACATCGCAATTTTGCTTACCTTTTTCAACTCTTCAGGCCATACCCTTTCAGAAATATTTATTTGGCGGTCGATGTTCAATGAATTTTAGAAGCAAGATTATAGGCTTTGTTATATTTTTTAGTAGCCAGACCACTACAACTTCCTTTTAATATCATTAATCAAAGTATAAAGTAATTTTTCTCATTTCCGTCAGCTATTTTGGTTATAGGTACCTATGAATTAGATATTCAACTTTCATTCGATCTAAGACAAGCCAACTGTTTATGAATTTTAGAAGCAAGTGTCCAGAGCTGGGCAAGGATTCGGTGTTGTAAAAACTTTTTAGTACCTATTCAATTACTTTAAAGTATTCAACGCTCTGTAAACAAAGACTTTTATGGAAGCAGCACTTGCATTTTTAACTCAAATACAATACTTTACAGATCTTTAGTACCTATTCGGATACTTTGCGTATTCAAATATTTATTAAGGTTTCAATACAATTTCAATACTCTGTAAAGTACCTACTATGCGATCAAAATGTTGACATGGGAAACTTGAACTTCCAAAGGCGACTCGCGACTGCCACCAACTCATTTTTGATCGCCCGTTATTTAAACACTATTAAAATCAAAAACAACGTTCAAAATGTTTAAATACTTTAAACTGAAACTGAAACTTTTCAAACTGTTTTGGTAGCTATACTGTTTTCCCAAAGTCTAAAATGAAATTTCCAAACTTCTAATAATCGAAATGAAAGCTCTGGAATGATAATGTGGGCATTGAACTTGCTAAACTATAAAACGAGTAATGAATAATGATAGGTATCTATTGGTTGATTCCTCATATTGGACTCACGGAAGATTCTTTTCATAATTATGTTTTAAGAGCATGTTATCAGTAGCTTGTTTGGAAAATGGCCAGTATTTTTAATCCCGTGCTTCCGGATCGGCCTGAATAAAAATACAGCGAATAATGAACCACCCTATAGATAGGTAAACCAGCAGTGCTTAGTCAACGCACTTCAAGATGCACAGTTGTGTATGATTGGTTGTCTATATATCCATTTGTTTATCGTATGGAATTATTGCTCCTGTTGATTAATAGTATGTTTATTCAGTGCTTTGTCATGTTAGTTTTGTTGTAAAATATTGCAAATCATCTAAAGGTACACGCGTTATTGCTTTTAAATATTATTCGGATTGGATTGCTTTTCTGATTTGTGGAAGGTTCACAATTGTCAAAGGATCAGATGTGTGTATGCGATTAGGTACGTCTGTCAATTTTTGGTTACTAAATACAAAGTATCTCTTTGTGTTGTAGATCAAATTTTAATCATTTGTAACAATTTTTCAAAATGAAATTTTATTTGTACCATTTTTGAAATTCCTACTGGTAGTTTTGATGTAAACTAGAGGAAGGTCAATCAAATTGTAAAATATAGGTTAATCTGACATTGAAAATATTTACTTTTAGCTCATTAATTACAGACATGCATTAATTTGTTGTGATTTTACTATTGAACCAAAGGTGATTATCAAACTGATCAGTTATCAACAAATCAAGTATACTTTTTAGGACAAACTATATTAAAATGGACGTGGATAACAGTCAATCTGAAGGGCCTGGAAGTTTAGAAATAGAACAGTCCTTATTACAACAATTTAGTTGTATGGGCACTACAGATAAAGAAGAGCTTGTGCAACAATTACAAAAACTCTTAGGGAGCCAAATGAACCACTCAACAGCGGCATTTTTTTTAGATATGAATAATTGGTAGTTTTAAATTTCTCATAATGTGCCTTAGTTAATGTGTATCCTTTTAGGAATTTACAGGCCGCAGTTTGTTCTTATTTTGATATCGAATCTCCGGCAAAACTACCTTCTATGGCGCTAGTATCTGATCCCGTGGCTAATGAGAGTGAAAGTGTTGAACCATGTGTGAGGTAAGATCACGAACAAAATAAGAGAGTTCTTGGAATTTTCTATTGTATTTCAGCTTCAGAAAAGTTTGGCATGTATTAAATAATGGAGCGGAAGTGTGGCCCTTAGGTTGTCATCTAAGATGTGCCTCTGGCGTCAGTTTAGGAGCAGAACCGGTTCAAGTACCCTGTCTTCAACCTGGTGCCGGAACATTTCTTAATCTTCGTATGACTAGCCCTGCTGTACCTGGAATGTATCAAAGTAAATGGAGGTTGTGTACACCTACTGGTTCTTACTTTGGAGGTTGGTATTTTGACAACTTGCGATTGATAAGTCAACCAAGGGGGAAATCACAGTAGATTTCCAGGGTGCACGGTAGTAGATATTCGAGGATGTCCCCACATATTTAAAGATTTCAATGGATATCCAAGGAGATCCTGTAGATATTTGAAGATATTCTCTTCAGTATAGCTTATACTATTATTTATTACTAAATCAGAATCCTGTGCGGGTTTAATTCAAAGTTTCATTGCAATCAGATGAACCGTTTAAGAAGGCATAAGTGACATACAAACATTCATTTTTATTTATATAGATTGGCTTTATTGGACCGCTGTGTATAGTGACTGATATCATTGAATAATAAATCTGAATAGAAAGACAACGCAATGCTTTTTGAAGGGTCCACTTTAACGGAGTTTCTCCGTAGGTTGCCCTCTGGGACAAACTCCGCTTATTAAAAGTAACTAAATTTTAATCGAGGTTTTATACCACCTACTCAACTGAATCAAAGTGATTAGATTTCTTTAGATGACGCTACTTTCGCGTACTTATCTCGTAGACTGCGTGGGAGTTATAACAGCAGGTGAAGATCGTATTGCAATATTATCTCTGTATTTACAAACTTATGCTTACGTAATACATGTTATTATTTGCACACCTCTTTAGGAAATGACGTCAAAGTTATCAACTTACAAGTAAATCTTGATTCCAACGATCTTACCTTATGTAGACTTTAAGATCGAAATTAAACTTTACTATTATTGTACCTATAGACAATGTTTTGGGATATTTCAGAATATGCAATACTGTCAGTCTCAGTTGGGCGAGCATTTACAGATATTGTTTAATTGCTGTTTCCGTATATAAATGCACAAATAACATGTTTTTGAGACAAAATTTGGAATTAAGTACTACTTTAAAGAACAACTTTAAAATTCAAATGAGAGAAGTGCAATATAATCTATTATGATGTGAAACGAAAGGTTTTTTAAATCGGCTTCATGAAAGAAATTGTATTGCACTTTTACGAAACGAAGACTCGAAAACGCCATGCCGGCACGTTTGCTACTAAACCTTTTTCTACGTCTCTCTTGCAACATATTTTTGATATTTTTTAAATATTAATAATTACGGCACCTGAAAATACCATAAATATCAAGTACTTCTACAATTATTTATGCAAAATTCGAGTATTAAATCAAAAATCTGTTACAATAGAGGCATAGATGTGTCCTTTATCTTTACATCGGCACCTAACAACACGGTATAGAATCCAATTTACTCAAAATGTTATACTAAGTCCCACACCTAGACACGCTATTCGACCCATATAATTTCTATTGAAGCGCTTTCCTAGTCGTATGCAGAGAACGGCCTCTTAAGTTCTCGAGTTTACGGATCGAATAAGAAATTTCAAAGCTATTATGAATTTCCATAGCAAGAGAAAAGACGCAGTCGTCAATCGCATTCAATGGAATGTTTTTTACCGTCAAAAAATAAATCAAGAGAACATACATCATAGGGTCCGTTCACTTAGCCCCCCATTAGCCCAAAAATGAACCGTGTCCTTTCATTCTTCAATCGCTTCCCTAATAGTCTGGATGCCAAACTGGGATTTTTGGCTTAACCTGGAAGTGAGGTACAGTGAAGATTTTTTGACGGTTTTTGTTCGTAAGGATGTCTACTTTGAGAATGCCACCTTGACACCCTTGAGCATTTTGAGAAATTCAAGATGGCGGCCAAAAAAATACAAAAATTAAAGTTTTAAAAAATATGGGCATATAACACGTCGATTTTAGGGTTTTTAAGCCTTCTGAATTTAAATTTTTAGTTAAAAATATTTTTGGGGGTGTTTTGGCGGATTGGGGTGGTGTTTTTAAGGGGTTGGTTTTTATATTTTTTCAATATTAACTTGTCGTACATCGATTTATATGTTTTTATGGATAAGGATCCCGAATTCCATATCAAAATGGAGGTACAGCAAGTTATTCAATGTTAAAAAAGTAGAACGACGCCGACAGACGGCCCGAAAATAACATAAAACGCACGGTACGCCTCGCCCGCGCTGCACGACATCATTTTAATAAAAAGATAATAATTATAACAAGTGCAATACGTCTTTTTATAGGTTTCTTGGGGTGGAGATTACAATTTTGATGTCAAAGTATGATTTTTGAATAAATCCTAGAAAGATATACAAGATAGCGTCAAAATTATTATCTTTTTATTAAAATGATGTCGTGCAGCGCGGGCGAGGCGTACCGCGCGTTTTATGTTATTTTCGGGCCGTCTGTCGGCGTCGTTCTACTTTTTTAACATTGAATAACTTGCTGTACCTCCATTTTGATATGGAATTCGGGATCCTTATCCATAAAAACATATAAATCGATGTACGACACGTTAATATTGAAAAAATATAAAAACCCACCCCTTAAAAACACCCCCCACTCCTCCAAAACGCCCCCAAAAACATTTTTAACTAAAAATTTAAATTCAGAAAACTTCAAAACCCTAAAATCGATGTGCTACATGCCCATATTTTTAAAAAATTTAATTTTTGTATTTTTTGCAGACATTTTTGGGCGGATTCTTAAAATAGACCTACTTAGTGACCTAAAACCGCAAAAAAATTTTCACCGTACCTGAAACAATCACTACACAACAGTTACAATGATAAGTGACACGTTTTTAATTAGGTTTTCGGGTATGCCCTTTCCGATTTTGAAAAAAAATTTCAAATTTCCTATCACGGAAGGGCGCACCCCTGCTTCGACGAAATTTGGTGCCTGGCGGTTTTTGAACATAAAAATCACGAATCTGGAATTAGTTTTTGAAAATTCGAAAAAAAAGTTCCACTGCAATTCTTGGCCGGACAACGATAATGGAGAGAATTCCACGAAATTGGTTGTGTACATACTGGATGAGTTAAGGAACAAAATTTTAAAATAACTTTTCAAACAAAAGTTATAGGTACTCGTTTGGAGAATGGGCCTTGGGGTTACAAAGCGTCTCTCGCCTACTACTATAGTGAATGATCTAATTTCGTATGTAAAATAACGATTTAAGTTGCCCCCATTTGATTTGTCCTATTATCTCCAAAACCAAAAAGGCACAAACGGTGCGCATAAATGCACTATTGAGCACAAATGATTATTGAGGCACAATACGTAAAAAAAATTAGTTCATTTTTGGCTAAGTGAACGGACCCTTTATCATATTATCATAGCATATTGTTGTCTAATTATCTTGTATCCAATAATTGACTTTTTACGTTCTGCAACAACGCTGTTATTATTATTGAATTAAGAACTTATAACTTGTTAAAACATTAAGTCGGATATTCATCTGAAAACTATATTTAGACGATCGTTGTATCAAAGGTATCCAGTTACCGACGTGCGTAAGTTTATCAATGGCATGATGTCACCGTAGTCAAAACATTCTCTCTCACCTCTCTACTCATGTTGAAGTGAGTATCTCGGCTATATTGTATGAATTAAAAAATGTTAAAGAGTTTCCTTTAATCACGTTTTGTTACTTGCCGTACGATACCAGCACATTCTAGATAATGAATACTGGCCACCTTTTCTCCTATCTCACTGACCTTCTATTCAGATTTATTATTCAATGCTGATATACAGAGTGTAAATATTAAGTATGTCAAAAAAATGTGGTGTTAGAGGGGACCAAAGCAAACATTTATTCCGACCAAGTAGACCCAGCGAACTTCATACCACATATCAGTCCCCTTCCCAGATAGGTCATAAGCTTGGTTTTGGCAGCTACGCCGCAGTGGATCTCGCTAAAGCGCCAATTACTGCTTAGTTATGTATTGTTATATTTGTATTGATATTTCAAAAGGAATACAAGATGAAAAGTCTACCCAAATGTGGAACTGTTGCACATTTTGATACTTTGACTACTCTATTATAATTTGTACTTGACACCCTATGAAGTCCCAATTTCCATGTTCCTACAGGAAAAACTTTTATTCGTAGGAGTATTGGGTTTTGGTTCTGAGATTCTTCACTCAGTTTTCTAAAAAAACACGCCGTTTTTAAAAATGCGACTAATTAGATTTTGGAAGATATGCCACTTGTTTTTAAAAATATTGAAAAAACACAAGACATAGAAGGTATTTTTACTTGAATTTTAAATTACATTTTTTTTTACTTTTAAGCGTTTTTAGCGCATTTCCACAAAAATTTAAAAAAAATGCGCTATTGTGGCCACTTTGTCCGTCCGTCCGTCCGCTCGTTTTGCGACGCTACTAGTTCTTTATCTTAAGAGCTATTGTTCTACTTTTTCGCTATTTGGTTCGTTATGGTGTCGAGTCTTGTACCAAGGAAGGAATTTTTTCTGTACCGCTTACAAAAAAAGTTATTGTAAAAAAACAAAAAACCGTTTTTTACATGTTCCATAATTTTACACTTTTGCCGTTTATTAACGATCCTAGAGATCGTTTATAGCTTTGCATTGCTATCTGTCGTCTGCCTGTTGGTTTGTCCGTCTGTTCCTTTGTCTGTCTGTCCATCTATCTGTCCGTGTGAACGATAACTTTGTTTAGAAATGTTCGATCGCTTTTACATCTCCGTTAGTTATGAACTGAATTGCATGAAATTCAATATGGGCATAGCTTTAGCCATATAATACGCAATGCCAAAAGTTGAATCGAATCGATTCAAAATTCACAGTGCCCTTTTCGCATCTCGACCATTTATAAACCGAATTGCAAACTTTTTTACTTATAAAAGTATTTGAATGAAATTTGATACATAGGCACTTGGAATAAAGGAAAATCAAACGCCAATTTCAAAATTTGGTTTTGCGCATGCGCAGTGCCAACTTTTTATTTATGGAAGAATTTAAATGAAATTTGATACATAGGCACTTGGAATAAAGGAAAATCTAGCGCCAGTTTCAAAATTTTATTTTGCGCATGCGCAGTGCCAACTTTTTTATCTATGGAAGCATTTAAGTGAAATTTGATACTTAGGCGCTTGGAACAAAGGAAAATCTAACATTAGTTTCAAAATTTAGGTTTGCGCATGCGCAGTTCCAACTTTCTTATTTAGAAAAGTATTGAAATGAAATTCTTCTCATAAACTGAAATTGAAGTAGCACGTCAAAAATGGATTGCCCATGTGCAACGCTATCTTTCATATTTGTGGCCGGATTTTTACGATTTTAATAGAAGTTGCATTTTACAAATGGGAAATGAATGCAAGTGGAAATGCGCTTTATGTAAATCGTTTACGATTACTTTTTAACTTGTTAGAGCTACGAGGAATTTTGAAACGGAAGATTAATTAGCATAAAGTTATCCATAACTTTGCCTACTTAAGCGACTTTGTTTCTCTTACGGTTTACGAGATCCTCATAGTGAAATTGAAAATCAAGTGCCAAATTCTTGACAGAACAGCTTCCTAGCTCAACCCAGATATTAAAAAAAAACCTTTTTAACAGTCTTTACATCCTTTATGTCTAATGAACCCTGCCAAGATTTTAACGAAATCAAAATGACGTCTTATCGAAAAAAAATGTGTTAAATAACTCCGTTTTTTTTAAACAAAACCTACCAGTTGTACACAGAACAAGAAAATGTTTCGAATAGTTTAACTGAAATTTTGCGTTGCTATTTGAAAGATAACGTTCGCGGCCTTTACGGCGATCCAACATTTTTTTTCAAAATCCAGTCCGTTGTTTTTCGTTTCCGTCTGCTTAATACACAGATCCAAAATTTGAACAAATCCGTTATATCGGAACGAAAATTTTATTCTCTAAAAGTTGCTTAAAATGATGACATTTGATGAAATTTACTTGTCCAAAAAGCGGTGATCGTAATAGCCACCTAGCTCCAGTTAGGAAGCTGAAAACTTTACCCTGTATAAATAAAGAAAACGAGTGTTAAAAATTAACAAAGATCTCAATATTTTGGTACTGTATTACAGTCGTTACTAAACGCTCTGTAAAATATACTTTTGAGATCATGAATTTTTAAAATATTCCAATGGCGATCCAATATTAGAATTAGTAGTTTTGTGTAAGCTCCAATAGGAACACTATTGGTGTAAGAATTTGTGAAGAATACACTGCACCTTATATTACAATCAGTACATGATAGAGCTTTTTTTTAGCTCAGAAGTTATAAATAATAAATTTATCGTGTAATTTTCGCTAAATCTTGGGATATAAAAATAATCTAGAAACTAGGGCCTAGTTTACAATAATCATGCTAATAAGGGGAAAAACTGTTTTAATGAAGACGATAGAACACAAATCAAAGTTGCAATTTCATTGTTAGAATAATTGTAATTATATATGTACCTAATTTCGAAGTAGAGTACCGAATTTGTAAATCCGCCACTGGTATTTTAGCATACTATCAAAGAGAACGCTGAGATCTGCTATTTCCGATTTTCTTTCGAGTTCTATACCACTCACTTGTATTTGTAATTAGTGTCAGTATAGTATTTCTAGTGAAGTCCATAAATTGTTTAAATCTCGTTAAAGTACATTCTACCAGAAAATATTCTTTTCCATATTTTTAAATTATCAGCATAGAGCATTTGAGTCAAAAACAATACTGGACCGCGGTTCAAACCTTGAGCTATGCCACGGCACGGCAATTAAGGAGCTTTACTCGAATTGTGGACACTAGTGGAATAGATAAAGCTACATCAAGAAAGAGTTCCAATTGCGTTAGTAGGGCGGAAAAATCTGGTTGGTCCAACGACATTGCAGTTTGATCTACGTTTTACCCTTAAATCAACGTTAACTAAAGCGTTGGTACAACCGGCACTAATATTTTGTTATGACTTGTGAAAAGCTTTACTTCTGCCAGTAGGTAACGCGCTGGTAACATCCCTAAAACAGCACTTGCAGTACCTGATAATATGTTGAATTTATTTAAATTTTTAACAGATTAACTAAACGAACGTTCCAAGCCGATGTACGAATATTCAGGTGCGGATTTACAAAGAATTATATCAGAAACATTATATTATGATCACCGAATTTTGATTTGATACAATTGTTTTAAGATAAGTGTGTACGTCGTTTATGCAGTCAATTGGGAATATTTTGTTATGCTGGCATTATTCCTAATTGGAAGGAATCAATCCCAGATGACAGATTTGAGATAAGTTGAAGAAGGTGCCACTGCAACATGTAGTAAACCGTATAGGAACATTTAATATGTGGCTAAAAATTGATAGTTGCTGACGTCTTAAAGTCAAACTAAAGGCAAATGAGTTTGGTAACAAAGAATACGAATAGCTTTCGTTAAAATTTACCACTCAAATACTTAAACTATTTTTACATATGAATAAATATAAAATGAAATAATGTACATGCAGCATAAAATTTGATGGTAGACTTTCATTTTGACGGAAGCACTAAGATCAAAAAGCTTACTGTACTTCCGGTCGTAACTTTTTCTAACCCTCATCGCTATTTTGCTATTGGGGCATATTGCGCATGCTGTTACTAAAACTGGTAGTTCTTAATGTAGGGTGTCACCGCTCTTTCAATTCCGTAGACTAGGGGAAGGAGCAACCTTAATCAATAGTTTAATGCATGCGCTTCAGTTGGGACAGATTTCTAAAAGAAACATGTATATATAAAGTACAACCACCTATTCTATTTTCGGTGAACCGAGTAGATTGCTGTACAAAAAACGAAATCAATGAAACGCTTATACTATACACTACAAATAAAGTGGAAATATATCAAAAAGTGCAGTAAATATGATTTAATGTCAATATTCAATTTCGAGTTATTGGGAATAATAGAATTTCCAATTTTTGTTTCCACGTGCCGTCGTGTAATTTTGTTAACGGTTCCATCAATTTTGGCCAGTAATATCAATTCTTGTAGACGCTTTATTTCCTTAATTGAAAATATACTTTCACTTTCTGTGTTGTGCTTTCTCAATTACGATAAGTACTTTCAGGAAAAAGGAAAAATACTTCTATATAAGACACTTAAACAATTAAAGTTTTCCCATTTATATTAAAATTCTTCAATTCCTACACAATTTCCTTACGTAGGTACCATTTTAAATGGACCACATCAAAATATGACATCATTTTAAGTATGACTTAAAATTTATAATTTGAGGCTTATGCTTATGAATTAAATATAACTATACATGCAAAGGTGCAAATTAACCTTTATTCAACGCAAAGGGAAAAAGTTAAATTCACTCTTCTGCGACATAAATAATTCTTGCACTCATTTTCCTAAGTAGGCGCTGATATCGATATATCAGAAAAAGTGGTTCATATTGGTATAATTTATCCGAGTTCGTACCTCCGATAATAAGAAAACTTTGTGCGTAATAAACCCATTTGTTGTTCTTATTTTCATTTTATAGAGATATGTTGTTCTCTTTTCAATCGTTGAGTGAATTGCCCTATTAGAACTGTTAATACGATTTCATACTACGTCTACATACCCATGATCGTTGATTCGTTGTTTATACGTTGACAAAATTAAATGCCTCTGTAAAATTGAAATTTTCTTTTTATGTTGACACCAATTTAGTTTTGGTACCTATAGGAAACTCTCATTTTTTTCTTTGTATGTACCTACATACATATAATATACCGTTGGCGTCCATCTGTCTGGGTGAAACCAAAACCCATAACCCAAAAAATACACTCACGAATTCAACGAAACTTGGTATGCAGATTTTAGTATACTGCCTAAGCTAACACTAATTCCAAGAGACTTTGGAACTCAGAGGTCAGCAAGTATCAACTGAGTTGTAGATTACATATAAAGACCTCTCTCTTGAAACCTATTCGCTTTCTTATTTATTGTCAATGTTGCCATCTTATTAATTTTTATATAGTTCCCCATAAGCAAGCCTCACTATTATGCATTGTATAGCGACCTTGTTTTTTAAAATTAAGAATTTGACCAACCATGTTAATCCGAGTAAAGGGTAACACTTTGATAATGAGCAGCTAAGTACAGGTCGGTGTAGCCAATGAAATGGTAAATTTTCCGAACTTCAAAGTGCCATAACAATGTTTTTTCTATCAGAACTACCACTACTTTATTTCGCTATTCGATAGTCTTTTGTATCGTCTTCAATTTTCATAAGGGACATCCTGATGTCTAAACCTCGTAGTTTTCAGGTTATTCAATAATTGACACAAATTAATCCTAATGAAAATTTCGACAGTTTTTTAGATAATTTTGTCAAAATTCTCGATCTACTCGCCTGAACCAGAAGTCACCTTGGTGGAAGGGGTTTCTACGACGGCGGCAAACACTTGCAAATATCTTGCACACAATGGATGCGTTTTTCAGGGTGGAAAAGTCTTGCAGTTCTCACACTGAATAAATCGACGAATGACATTAGATGAAGTATCTTGCCAAAAATTGCACTTGCGAACCACTCTATATGTCATGCATTTATTCGTATTGTTAACACACGCGTGTAATAAACAATTTCGTGTCCGTTCGACCGGTTTCAGGTTTGATGGAATAACAGCAAAGCTTTAAGGAATGGAACAATTACAAAATAAAATAGGCACGCAACAATACCAACGTTGACATCCAACACAGTGGACATAGTAACATAGTGTGCTGCTTAGAGATTAACTAAATCAATTATAAAGCATAGCAACCACTGAAATCTTCTTCATCCACTTTTACTGAAATCCATCAAAATATCCAGTGCATTAGAAATATGATGGAAGCTCTTGAGTGTTAGATGACCTTAAAGTTGATGTACTGTGTCTTTCCAGAAACGTGGTTGAAACACAGTGAACTTGATATGCGATAAATTTTTCAGAATGTGTTTCTTTCCTGCATACAATCATGTAAACAGGGTCATGTACTAATTCTTGGAAAAAATACTTTTTTTATGTGTACAAAAACTTTGAGGGTAGACTTCTATGTTTTATATTATTTTTGCATTTGTTTATTGAATATGGATAGCAGTATTTTTTGGCAACAACTAGAAAGTGATAACTACCCGCGTGTTGCCGTACGCGATTTATAAACATATTGGGGGTGGATTTCTATGTGACGCAAGGGGTTCCAAGAAATTATTTTTGCATTTGTTTATTGGATATGTATAGCAGTATTTTTCTGCACAAACTAGAAAGTGATAACTACCCGCGTTTTGCCGTATTCAATTTATAAACAATTTATAAGCAAGGGGTTGCAAGAAATTATATTTGCATTTGTTTATTGGATATGTATTGCAGTAATTTTTTGCACAAACTAGAAAGTGATAACTACCTGCGTTTTGCCGTATTCGATTTATAAACACATTGGGGGTGGATTTCTATGTGACCTAAGGGGTTGCAAGAAATTATTTTTGCATTTGTTTATTGGATATGTATAGCAGTATTTTTCTGCAAAAACTAGAAAGTGATAACTATACCCGCGTTTTGCCGTATTCGATTTATAAAAACATTGGGAGTGGATTTCTATGTGACGCAAGGGGTTACAAGAAATTATATTTGCATTTGTTTATTGGATATGTATAGCAGCATTTTCTGTATAAACTAGAAAGTGATAACTACCCCCGTTTTGCCGTATTCGATTTATAAACACATTGGGGGTGAATTACTATGTGACGAAAGGGGTTGCAAAAAATTATTTTTGCCTTTGTTTATTGGATATGTATAGCAGTATTTTCTGCACAAACTAGAAAGTGATAACTACCCGCGTTTTGCCGTATTCGATTTATAAACACATTTGGGGTGGATTTCTATGTGACGCAAGGGGTTGCAAGAAATTATTTTTGCATTTGTTTATTGGATATGTATAGCAGTATTTTCTGCACAAACTAGAAAGTGATAACTACCCGCGTTTTGCCGTATTCGATTTATAAACACATTGGGGGTGGATTTCTATGTGACGCAAGGGGTTGCAAGAAATTATTTTTGCATCTGTTTATTGGATATGTATAGTAGTATTTTTCTGCACAAACTAGAAAGTGATAACTACCCGCGTTTTGCCGTATTTGATTTATAAACACATTGGGGGTGGATTTCTATGTGACGCAAGGGGTTGCAAGAAATTATATTTCCATCTGTTTATTGGATATGTATAGCAGTATTTTTTGGCACAAACTAGAAAGTGATAACTTCTCGCGCATTGCTTGTTTGTAAAGGTGGGCGTAATTTTTTTTTATTTCTGTGGTATTCTGGCATCTTCGGAGAAACGGTCGGTATCTTTGGTTGGTTGCTGTCTTCACGCAGGCCTCCGAACAGTTCCAATGCTCATTTTGTGCAAACTCCAAAAGCGATAATAAAAAAATCTGCTCCCTGAAAAATATTCATATCTTGAATTCTTGAAACATTTTGATACTGAATGTACTGTAAATTTCGGTTTTAAGGAACTTAGTTTTACTCAAGTCGGTTTTCCTGCAGTTTTCCTAATTTATAAGGTAAATACCGGGTACAGTGCTCCAGCATTGCTTATAACTTTAATTTCACCGACATTATAATAGTCAACTATAGGAATTAGAGCTTTCGTAAATGCTGAATGAAGCATGTCTGTGAAGTTGGCCTGGATAAAATAGCCCGGCAGCATCGCATCATGCTAGATCGTTAGTGCTTTGTTAGTGCTCGTTAGTGCCTCATAACACACAATTTGTAAATCGTTAGTGCTTGGTCCGTGCTTGTTGGTGCTTCATAATTTAACGTTACGACCCGAACAGTTTTCTCAGAATACATTTTTTATTGATTCGAGCCAACTTCACGTTTTCCCGGACAACGACTCCAATTTGCATCAAATTTTATAAATCGTTAGTGCTTCGTTAGTGCTTTAGAATTCAACGTTAGATCCCAAACCGCTTTCTTAAAATACATTTTCCTGTTGGGGACAAACTCGGACGTAGCTCTTTTCACATTGGCAGCACCACTTCACTTTTGCTCGAGCAGTACCTTTCCAATAAATTAAATTGTACCTATACATAATATATCGTACGATTAAATAAATTAAGGTATTGGCATTTGTATCCCAATACAAGAAAGACATAAAGATGAAAAGATGCAAAACTAAAATGGTTAATGTGAAGAGCAAAATAGAGGTAATAATTTCAGGAATTAGTGAAATTATAGTCTATTTTATGCTCCAAATATAGAATTCTACAAAATAATTTTACCTAACATAAATAGATAATGTGTACCTAATTAATAACATATCGATATAAAACAACAGAAGCAAATACAAGTATAATTACAATTGAAACAATCTAAGAGTATCTCCATTAATGAAAAGTGTTGTGGCAGTGGTCAAAGTGGCCTGATCAGTGCCAACTCCCGTTGTCGAACGGGGGGGAGGGGGGGGCGCAAAACACCGCCGAACATTAGGACACAGATCCTAGGCTAGGACTACACGTTAGAGCGCATACACAGATGAAATAAGTAAAATAACATTGGTTTACTTGTTATACCTTTTATTGTCCTACCTGCGATCTAATCTCTGCTTTGTATGGTGATCTACATGATGCTTGCGTTCTAATGTCCGCGTCTCTATGTCCGCGTCCCAAAGTCTGCATCCTAATATCCGCGTCCCGTTGTCCGCGTCTCAATGTCTGCGTCCTAATGTCCACGGCCTATCGTTTGCGGTCTATTCCCTTTGCGGTCTACAGTCTTGCGGTCCAATGTCCGCGTCCTAATGTCTTGCAGTCCATTGCCATAGCGGCGGAATTTCGTTTCAAAGGTAAAAATTTGTTTGGTAAATTTTAGAGCAAACCGTCTTTTTCATAATTTTTACGTTTTGCGTTTTTATTCAGTACTTGCCTTACATGATATGTAGCAAAATATGTTGTTAATAGTTTTCATCATTTGAAATCACTTAATGGAACTTTCTCGGAGCACGGAGTGTACCGCGTCGTTCTAAAGGCTTTCTATTGGCCAATTTGAATTATTTTGAATATATAATTCTCAACTATTACAATTAGCAAAATAATTAATTCTACTGCTGTTTTAATTAATTTTATATACATTCGTCTTCGTCCTATAAAAGGAATAATTCTTATCACCCAACAATGCTGTTTGTATGTTACGACACTGGCAGGCATGTCTTGGTGACAAATGGTCACAGTTTTATTGAAAGTATTACCTGTCCTCTCTCTTTTCTAGTCTAAGGCTATAGACATATTCAGGCTGCACTACAGCACTTGATTAAGAAAGCAGACTCGTCCGCCATTTTGGAGCCCACTGACAGTCTGTAAGATATTACGCTGTGTTGTTTGATCGTTATGTTGTGTTATGTTGCCAAGGTAACTTACTGTCATGAGAAGCACGTGTTTTGCAAGCGTCAATTGTCAGTGGGCTCCAAAATGGCGGACGAGTCAGTTGTGGTGTATATAGTAGCTATAGACTACACAGTTACGTCACCGTCCGGCCCGTCAAAATTTGTAAACGAGAATATTTTATGTTTCGTTGACGGTGCGGTAACGGAACGGTGACGGTACGTATAGATGAATCGCGCTGCATGCCAATGTGAAAAGAACTACGTCAAAAATGAAGTTTGTCCCCAACAGGAAAATGTATTTTAAGAAAGCGGTTTGGGTTCTAACGTTGAATTCGAAAGCACTAACAAAGCACTAACGATTTATAAAATTTGATGCAAATTGGAGTCATTGTCCGGGCAAACGTGAAGTTAGCCCGAACAAATAAAAAAGGTATTATGAGAAAACGGTTTGAGTCCTAACGTTGAATTATGAAGCACTAATAAGCACTAACAAAGCACTAACGATCTACAAAAT